ACCTTGACATGCATTCTCTCCTCGGGCTGGCAGTCAGGGCCGGGGACGCCCGGGACGAGCCCGGGCCTCGCCCGAGCCTCCGCGCGCGATCCTCCCGCGACCACGGTCCGCCGTGTGTGCCCGTGTGTGCTTTCACCACGATTAATCGACTTCGCTCTTAATCCCCCGTTCGCACCTCGCGACTGGATTACGCAATCCTGCGAGGAATATATCCTTGAGATGGATTTTTTTTCTTGAGATAGAGAGAAAGAAAAGGAAACGCGTTAATTCATCCGCCGCGATTCGGACCTACGTATGTACTTTGCCACACACGGATGCGTGGATCCGACATATTTCCCCCAACGACGACGGTCTCCACTTTACTTCGCATGTCAAGCGGGAAATGATGCTACACACTTTAGCGAGCTCTCGCTAAAGCAGCTCGAGAGAGCAAGACGCGAGGAATTAAAAGACACTAAATCTTGATTAAATTGTTTGATTTGTTATAGATTCAGGTTTATTACGGACGGGGAAACTTTCGCGCGGTGCTTCAATCAGGAACAGCTAAACTAGGTGCTAGGAATAAACTGTTTAACATTAGAAGGAATTAGTGAAACTAGCTGAAAGGCGCGAGGAACTTGTATACGCGAGTTATATCGGAGATTTCAGCACAGGTGAGAACATTAATCCTCCGGCATGATCTCCTCGCACCGATTTAGCCAGATCTCGTCTTCCGGGTCTTCCGGTTCCTTTCGCCGCTTCCCCACCGAGAAATAGGTTTCTCTCTCTTGGCGTAAAAAAGTAGGGAAGGAAGAAACGCGCGGAAAAGTATAGAGACGCAAAGATGCAAAAGTGAAAGTGGCGACGCCGTTTATAATTTCTGTAACAGAATCGCGACCCACTTGCCGCCGTAGCCGCAATCTCGAGATTCCCATTTTTTTTTTTACATTTACCGCCGAATGAGATTCAACGAAATGAGCACGACGGGGGAGAGACAGCCGGACTATTATTAGTCATTCTTTCCTAATATACGTATAGCCCCCGCGGTATTTCTCTTGAGCAAATGCATTATGGATATCTTATCGCATTCTTTTCGCGTTATTTTCGATATCGATAACAAAAGAACGAAAGGATCCGAGGTGGACAACTAGAAAAAAATATATATTTGTTTGCATTGTAATGTTAATGAAACTTGCTGACTAGCTTAGAAGGAACAAGAGAAAAACATAGTTCACGACAAGCACGTGAACAGATTTAATATACGTCGTCACAAATGCGAGGAAACGAAAATGTACTGGATAATCCATGAATGAAAAACGACACACGAATAAATTCTATTTGCAACTCTAATACGCTCGTTTGATGATCGCGAACTCCCGACAAGCTCGAATTGCCGTAGACTCGTGTTGCTTTATATTCAAGAAAGTTATATCCTTAGAAAGCTCGAAAACATCCGTGACCACGTGATTTCAATGTTCATTCACAGCGTCATTTGGCGGTCATTTATAAACATATACGTTTGCGAAGACATACTGAATTACTTTGTCTTAGCGATAGTCAACTGTCATTTCTCATCCCGTCTTGTCTTTATTTAAAATATTTTTCCTGCCTTTAAGGGAGTACGATCGAAAAATCAAAACGCTTTACTCTGTTTACAAATTATATATAGAACATTATTTAAAATGAAATTATGTCACATTAAAATTTCAAATCTCGTAATCGTGTAATCTTTAAGGGAAAAAAGTTGGAGTTTTATGCATGATGTATTACATTGATTTTTTTATGCTTCGATTTACAAAAAAGTATAAATATTATCGTAAGTTAAAGCAAATCTTTTTCTACAGCTTTTGCAAAAAATTAACTTCGCTCATCGTGTAATTTTTTTTATACAAGCAAAAGTATGCCTATTTCGCGCGTAAACGGCTGACTATTCCCAATATTTGAGCACACAACTCGATCAGGAATGCCAACCTCATTTTCAGAATACTTTAGCAAGTGATCGATAGTCATTGAACACGAAGCATTAAAAAATACTTATATATATATTCTAACAATAAAATATTAATATTATGATCAGAGATTACAACTTAGCGTTCAATGTCATCTTTTTGTTCTGATAAATTATAAAATAGTCTTTCTTATTATTATAGAATTTTCATATATTAGTTGGTATCGCTGATGTATAAGGATAAGATGGTACCCCCCTCTCGCCACCCCGCAAGAGATCGATCGTACCTCGAGATACCCCCCCTCATACGAGAAAATATAATCGATCGACTTCTCTTTGAATATGTGATAATTGCGATTTTTACACTAATTAACACTGCGTTCGAGTGATTATTTGAATTTTAAATGTATTTCGATTCCGATTGTCCGTGAACTTTGTGACCTACTTAATTTGCTTCGCAATAAAAAGAGATAGATAAAAATAGAGAGATAAGGAAAGATAAGCGGAAATATAGAACTGTAGAAATAACTATAGAAAATCTCAAGATACACCATGTGTGTATACCAAAGTTATGCGCAAAATGACTGATACCGAGAGTACTTATTTATTTTGCAAGTGGAAGATCGCGATCGACTACTTTACGGGACAGAAAGAAAGCCGCAATTCTGGGACGGATCTGCACGCTTTGGCTGCAGAGTGGCTGCTACTTATGACACGTGCAATTTCACGTGCAGTTTCAACGCAACGGCTCGGTAACCGCCGGTAACTTAAAGATGGCTACAAGGGTACAAAAAAAAACGCCCGTTCTTACCTGGGTGGTCCGGATGCGAATACCAGCTGTCACCTCCAGAATTTTTTCACGCCCGCGTTATTCACCCGCGCGATTTGTTCGCATCGGTGAAAATCTGCACGAATGAGGATATTCTACTTAAAAAAAAAAAAGTAACGCGAAAAAATCGTCCAGATGAATCGAAGTCAATTTCACACATGGCGAACGAATAGAATATACAGCCCCCCCCCCCGTTCGCGATATTTTTTCTCGTTACTTTTTTTTTTTGTATCTCTCGTCAGATTACGCGCAGTACGCGCACTCTACTCTTTTCTCACGGAGCGATTAAGGATTGAAATGAATACGCTTCCGGTCCACCGGCGATGCCAGTCGATGATAAACGGCGAGCGAGGAAGAAGATAAAATGGAGAAACGATTATTATCACTATTATTATTATTACGCGTTTATTATTACATGTTATTTATCACCAAGTCGCTATCATCATGCACGCGTTCGGGAGCTTGTTATCGGCCGCCACGTGGATGCCGCGGCGGTTGTTTTGCGAATTATGTAACACGACGTAACATAATCGCCACGACGCCACCACGCCGCGCCACGTCGGAATACATGAATGTTTTACACTCGGCGCGTTTTACATTCGGCCAAACGTTACGTTACACGTTATTTCCGTGATTCTTACACGGGAGTGTTGTTTTTCCGCGAGTTGTCGTCGTCGTCGTCGTCGTCGTCTCGCGTCAGACGCGCGCCGCTTTAATTGCGGGCGACGTATATACGTGCGATTTTGTTATGCGAGAACCGCGCGATAAAAACAGCGTGCCCCGCGGCGGGTCGCTCACGTGCGCGCGCTTCGCAACCTCGCTCGCCACTTCCGCTCGCACCTGCCGATATTAGCCGTGCATCTCCGCCGCAGGTGCCTCGCATCTCCCCGCGATGATCTCCGCACTCGGAGATCGTCGGATAAGCGGCATTTCATTCCAAGCCCAGGCCCTCCACGATGTCCACGCTTCCGGCCGACATTCTGGCCGCGCCACGACCATTTTCTCTCTCTCTCTTTTTTTTCTCTCTTTCCTCCTTCCTCCCTCCCGTCTCTCGATGCAACGGAGGCTGACGAGAAAAGAAGAAAAGAAAAGAAAAAGAAAAAAAAAAACGAACGCCAAGAGCACCTCATTGTCTCTCGCGAGAAACCTTGTCAGCTCCGCGCGCGTCGGAGCGTTCGGCAATTTCCCACCTCCTCGCGCCATGTGACGAAGAACGTGGGGGAGGATTCGGCGATCAAACAGGAAAGAGAATCGTTAATTAGCTTACCTCGATTCAGTTAGACCGCCTGATTTGAATTGAGTCTGAAAATATTTTCGAACGTGCGGTCTTCATGTTTTATTTCCTAAGCCAGCGATGCGCAACTTGCGGCCTGTTTGTGAATTTTTTGCGACTCGCCGCCGGCTCACGGCCAAAAATATAAATTTTTCTATTTATACGAAAAATATTAAATTTTTCTTTTTATATTTCTATTTTAATCAAAATAATAACGTTATGCGGGACACGAGTCTTGATCTTTGCAAACAACCCATACAGTCTTATTTTGTTCATTTTTAAATATACAAAGTAATCTTATCGCACAGTTCTCAAATTGTCAAAAATTCGACATTTTCGCACGCATCGTTTCTTGATATTTATGAATTATCTTAATTTTTTTTTTACTTTGTATCGATAAGATAAAATTATTCAAACTTAATCATTCGGATAGTTATTTCTATATGAAGTGTTGAATCGTGTGGAAACAAGTGTCAAAGTAAAATAGCTTAGAATAGGAAAATTTTATTTTAATATTAATAAAGAAATTTCATATGTGCTACCAAAATAGATATGCGGGAGATTTTGTTTATTTTTGAAAATGGTCCTCAGTTTAAAATAGGTTACACATCACTGTCCGACGCAGTCTTCAGAGAGAAATTTAATGGAAAAATGTATGAAAGTCTGTCGGGATTTAGTTAACTCCGAAAGACACAATTTCAACATGATTTCTCGCATATCGATTATATTTCCTCGATATCTTTCACGTGTTCGATCGACGTCGTCAGGTTTTCGCGTGGGACACCAGCTCTTTTCTTTTCGATGAATTTCGTAAAAGTCGCTTCACGGTGCCCGAGCACACGAGCGGAAATCAGTTCCGCAACGATCCTGCCGAATCGCCGGGATATAACGGGATGTCGTGTTCAATCGGAATCATTATCGAGTACCAGTCTCATTGGGATTTACGTCTTTTTTTTATTTTTCTGTTACAGTAAATCTAGCGGACAACGGGAGCCAGAAGGTGGACATGACACACTTCGACCTGTTGAAAGTCCTCGGTACCGGAGGTGAGAGACCACTACTCGGCACGGTATCTCTTACGAAACATGACACAGTAAACGTCCACTACTAATATCCGCATCGATTCTGACTCATAATATTTACAATACACGCGTACCATTATCAGAAATTAAGCTTTAATTAAGTGTTTTCCCTCACGCGTTCATATATGGGTTAATTTCTAGCGATATTCCACATCCTTTTTCCGACCGATGCTGTTTCTCTTGCATCAGCACGGGTATATTTTTATTCTTGATCATCGTTATCAATGCCACTAAATCACACGATCGATGCACGATCGTGTTTTTAATATCAATCATTTAATGTCGATTCGTTTTTGCATAGCTTACGGCAAGGTTTTCCTGGTGAGAAAGAGAACGGGCGCGGACGCCGGGCGGCTTTACGCCATGAAGGTGTTGAAGAAGGCCTCCATCGTGCAGAAGAAAAAGACGACGGAGCACACCAAGTCCGAGCGACAAATTCTGGAGGCCATCAGGGACAGTCCGTTCCTAATAACTCTCTATTACGCCTTCCAAACTGACGACAAACTCTGTCTGATTTTAGGTAAGCCACGACGACAAACTAAAATCAAAGAAAAATAAGCAAATGTGTCAGGTAAGGATAAGTAAAAGAAATAGAAAAACTTAAGTAAATAACAGAAAAGGAAACGAGATAGAATATAATAATATGACTCACACACACACAAGTGCACAAGTAACATTTTGCCGACTTTCCGATATCCTCTAAATTTGAAAATTAATTTCTTAAGTAATATTGAACTTTACTTTACTTTTTGTCAATTAAAATGCGGATAAAATATAAAAAAGATTTTATATATCTACATATATAAAATTTCTTGCTTATATTATAGACAAAGTAAAAACTATTACCGACGAAATAACAAATCTTTTTCTCTTTTACTTTGTTCACCGCATGTATCAACGTTGCCACGAAGAGAATGGAGGACTTGTTCCTTTTCTCTTTCGCGTAAGCTAAGGACATACAGACGCAGAACACTTTGAACAAAATATTTTTCTATTTCCAGAATATGTCGCCGGCGGCGAAATGTTTACGCACCTGTATCAGCATGATTGCTTCACGGAGGATGCAGTACGATTTTATATCGGCGAAATTATCTTGGCGCTAGAGCGCCTGCATGATGTACGTATTAACAGTGGTATCACGCGTGTGCATAAACAATAATGGCTGCATTTAGCAAAAAAAAAAGCATCTTTGCAGTTGTAAGAATCTTTGATATTATTATTTCTTGTCCTTAATTTCTTATATCTTACATCTAGTTGTAAAGCTGCTTTCTCTGTTAAACGCAGCCATTAAGATACCCCCTGATGGAAACAAAAGCAATTTAAGTATGTATATTAAAGTATAATAATTTAAATATGTTAAGTCGAATCTATATGAATTTTATTTAACGTTGCAGCTTGGCGTAATCTACCGGGATATCAAACTTGAGAATATACTCTTGGATAAAGAAGGGCATCTCGTATTAACTGATTTCGGTCTCAGCAAAGAGTTCCTGCCGCACGAACGAAACGGCAACGCGCGTACTTACTCGTTTTGCGGAACTATCGAGTATATGGCACCGGAAGTGGTAAAGGCCGGACCGAACGGCCATGATATCGTGAGTTGAAACCTTTCTTTCCGCGTTGCCGATCGTCGTGTTATTTCATCCCCGTATCCGCTTTTGTAGTGGCCACTCGATGATAATTTCGATGTGTTTTATTTCTTTGACCGTTTAATTATTGTATTAATGCATGAATTAATACGCGCACACTCAATTGTATTATTTACAAAGCGTTTTGAATAATTAATTACGAAGCAACAAGCTAACAATTCAATTAAATTGAATTTTTCGAAAGTAGAAAAAATATATTTTTTACATGCATATGACAAGTATATAAATAAAAGAAATAAAAAGAAATTTTTGGTCACAATCAACAATAAGTATGGTCGCGCATACATTGTTTAAACGAGCATATCATTTAATCGTGTTCATTACAATTGAGACATGGCATTCTCATAGGCTGTCGATTGGTGGAGTGTGGGCGTGCTAACGTTTGAATTACTGACTGGTGCGTCACCTTTCACGGTGGAAGGCGAGAAGAACAATCAACAGGAAATCTCGCGGAGGATACTGAAGAACGATCCGCCACCGATGCCGAGCCACCTGAGTGTCAACGTGAGCGACTTCATCACTCGCTTGCTGATCAAGGATCCACGACAAAGACTAGGTGGTGGTCCACGCGACGCTAAAGAGCTCAAGGAACATCCCTTCTTTATGGATGCGGCGCCGGCTTTTACTTGGGAAGCTCTGGAGAAGAAGCAGATCAAGCCGCCTTTGGTCCCCAAAATCGCACATGAATTGGACACCAGCAATTTTTCCGACGAGTTTACGAAGATGAACGTTGTAGTCGATAGTCCAGCGATCGTTGATGGTGATTACCCTGACAAACATTTCAGAGTGAGTTAATTTTTTTGTTATTTTTTCCAAATATGCGTGCTGTAATAATCGAGAGTTTTGTCAATTGTTTAAAAAAAAAATGTCTTACTTATATTTTATTTTTATAGGGTTACTCGTACGTGGCGCCGTCGATCCTATTCACCGACAACGTAGTAAGTAGGGATATCTTCGGTGGTGAAGAGCGTATCGGTTCGCAACGGCCTTTGTTATCCGATCTGCTCAACACGTGTTTCGAGGAGTCCACATTCTTCCAAACGTACGAGTTAGACCAAGCGGGACCAGCTCTCGGCGACGGCAGCTTCTCGATTTGCCGGCGATGTCGTAATCGCAAGACTCAACAGGAATATGCCGTGAAAATTGTCAGTAGGCGAGTGGATTGCAACCGGGAGGAAACTCTGTTGCGCGCATGCCAGCGTCACGCAAACGTGGTGAAATTAATAGACGTTCATCACGACCGACTTCACACGTATATCGTGATGGAACTGCTCTCCGGCGGGGAATTGTTGCAGCGTCCGCGACCATTCCAGGAGCGGCAGGCGAAGCGAGTGATGCGACAATTGGCGTCTGCGGTGCGATATATGCACTCGCGTGGCGTAGTACATCGTGATCTCAAACCGGAGAACGTCGTGTATGTGCACCAAGGTGAGGACTCGGCGGTGAAAATAGTTGACTTTGGATTCGCCCGGATGAAGAACAGCTGCGAACCATTGCATACGCCCTGCTTCACGCTTCCGTACGCCGCCCCGGAGGTCGTGGCCAATCAGGAATACGACGAGAGCTGCGACATGTGGTCCTTGGGGACCATATTGTATTTCATGTTGTCCGATAATCCGCCTTTCCGCACGGACACGCCAAATGTGGCGATGCGCATCAAAACCGGCGAGATCAATTTCGACGGCGAAGCTTGGAGTCACGTGTCCGCCGGTGCTAAGCAAGTGATGAAAGGTCTGCTGATGATCGATCCCCACAACAGACTTACGGCGGCTTCCTTGGTGTACCATCCATGGCTGACGATGCAAGATACAACGATCTTACCAGTAACGCCCATCACTGACACGATTCACGCAGACAACGCGACAGCCACCAGTTCAACATCAGCGCATGAACGCGAGGGTTTCCGATTGCGCGCGGTCGACGCCGCAAAATTGGCTCAGCGTCGCAAGCACAAACGTTCCAATTCCAGTTCCTCGACGTCGAGACCGTCCTCTTCTTCTTCCTCGAGTCCGTCGTCAGTTCAATTGCTGCGTGTACCAAGTGCCACGGCAAGCGCCGCGAACACTTCCACCTCGTCACCAAGCGTCTTCGACTTCAACGATGAAGTTGTTAACGAGTACCTGAGTTCCCTGTCTTCTTCTTCCGATTCAAATTCGTCGATAAGACTCTCGCTTTTGCAGGGAGCGGAACGTACCGCGAAGAAGAGAGTCAAACGTAACGCCGATCATGAATCATCGTGTCAACAGGTGAGCCCGACAAAGAAGCATCATCGACATCGACGTGATGTCGATAGCGAAACCAGTGGCAGCAGTAGTAGCGGGCCGATGACGCGATCGCGAAAACGTAAACTTGAACAAATAATAAATTCGGACAGAGATACAGGTTCTGACAATTCCGCGGAATCGTACGAGTCGTCCTCGCAGACCGCGCACCACGAAGGGGACGTTCATAGAAGGCATAAAGCTGGCAAGCGGCCCAAACGTCTTGCCACAATTATAGTCGAGTAGAGTTTTTCCTACTTACGCTTGATCCAGTAACGCTCCAATAAATTCACACCTTGTTTCCTATGCATTTTATACGGTATTTAACACCGTTGCCTTCTGCGTTCGTACGGAACACGAACGTCGCATCATTCCTATCTCACCACAGTTCTAAGATATCGTATATAGATATATATAAAAATAGCTATAACATAATTGCCATCCTATCTTCTCTTAAATCTTGGTCCATTTTCTATCTGAATGATCTGTGCAACTGAAAAGTGCACTCTTATGATAATGATAATTTAAATGTACCGGATAGATACGAGAAGCGGACGTGTATAAAAGAATATAATATCACTGTGGTCAGGGTCTCAACAAAGTATCAATGCGAGGATTTACGCGATATACAGAATTTATTACGCAGTGTACAGAATTTTATTTTTATTATACCGCTATCGGAAACGTAAGTAGGCGGATGCGAATAAGATGGTGAATCGTTTTGTTGCGTTAAACTGGGATTGTCTGTGATTTATAGAGCGAGGACGACCAGCATTGTAAGTTGTTGTAACTTATTACATGCTTCCGTTAAAATTTTCTTCCAACGTCACTTCCGCGATCGATAATCATAGGGATGACGATAGCGATTAACTAGCCAATAAGAAGAAAATTTTAGCGATTGCTTATGACAAGTGTATATGTGGTGAATGTGCCTCAAAAACTCATGTCACTATGAGTACATTAAAGATATTAATGTAGCAGAAATGACGCGCGATTATGCGAAAATAACAGAAGCAAAAGAAGGAAACTGTTATTACCAGTGGTACCTCAATAACGAAGAAAAGGATAAAACATATTTAAAAAATACAGTTTGTTAAGAAAGAAAATTATACAAATTAAGTAATCTTTTATGAATAATGTTATCGAGAATAATGATACATATTTATACGATTTAAAACAATTCCGTTCATATAATTATATGTTAAAAGTTATTCTATTAATTTTTACAGATGACTTTGAAAAAGAAATGATGTTTATTGACTAGATAATAAGTAAGATCGAGGAAAAAATTTCTATTCAGTATTTAACATTTTTCGTAGGAACATTTCTTCACACCTTGATGTATTTGTGTGGTATACTTAACGTATTTTACAATTTTGAGAATAATGGAAAAATGAATGAGTTGCGATGAAACATTCGGAGCGCGATGAAGAAATGAATTAGATTTAATTAAGTCAGATCATTATAACATTGTAATCATTATAACATTGTGATCTAGTTATCACCAATTCATGGTCGATGCAATTCCTCATAATTCGAAATTTAACTATTTATTTACTTAAACAAGCAAAGGAATTAATTTATAAAAGAATCATGAATAATATTGAATTTATTTCCTCTTTGTTGTTTATGTTTTATATATTTTTTTGAAAATTCGAAACGTAAAAATGCGAAAAAGAAGATATTTTCTTCATGTTCAGTGTCACAAAACGCTAAAAAGGAATCTATTATATTTATTAAAGAAAAGCGACATATTGTTTGCGTCGTGAATTTTCTTTTCACTTTATTAAGTTATCGCTGTGTTTATACTAGTGAGACGATTGTCTTAATCGATGTGTAATAATCGCTGTGAGAGATGAAGTAACAAAATGGTAAAGACTGAAATGCGGTTGTATATCAACTCAGGGAACAGACGCGTTAATTGCGTAACGTTTTGTGTTATCTTATACGAGATAGCGTTATGCGAAGAAAAGCATGCGTGCGTGCTTCTACCAAAGATGACTGAAGCGACACTCCTCTGTTAAACCAAATAAAGTGCGGTGTGT